GGTGGGGGGGGGGGGGGGAAGGAGAAAAGATTAAGAGAGGTTGACGGATAAAAGGACGCTGTAACGTCCTCGAGGCAAATCGCTTAATCTCAATAACTCATGAGCGACGAGCCACTCGACGACACGGGTATTCTCGAGTTTTACATTGTTCTTTTTGTTCGGCACTTATCAATTGCATCGTGCACTGCTATAAATCCAAATAGAACAGTGTCAGCTGTCACATTGCTCAAATCCTGAATGCGATTCAAATTGCATCCTCGACTCAATACCGGCGACTGATCGAGACTCGAGTCTGTCAAACTCACTGGTGCCGTTCGTTTTATTTTCTCGGACAAGAGTATCGTTCAGGACGCGATAATGGGAAAGGAACTATCGGCTCGTCGATTCGATATGGCAACGCATTGTTAATCGCGCACAAAGTCGATCTCTATAATTTCTCTTCCGTGGCTTCCACGAAGTCGAAATCCCTGGAAGCGGATCGATAAAGATTCAGCCCACGCGTTTCGCACGGGATCGCAAAGACCAATTTTCATCTTATTGTTGGCCGCACGGCTGAGTTATCTCGATTCGTCTAGATAGTTTCTACGCGCAGTGCTGCCTCTTTAGACGCCTTCCGAATGAATGATCAAACCCTATTGGAACTTCCGAATGCGGACGTGCGTGCGCGTCTACGTGCGGCGTGTAGATGACATCAGATTTATTTGCCGTGACAGACACGGCAACCGCTGCCATGCGAACCGCGGTGACACCTGGTCCTTGCCCAATGCCCACGCAGTTGGCTGTCACTTTACGTACCTTTCAGCGCGACAGCCGCATATTCTGCGCGGCTCGAGAACCGCGCAGTCCCGCGCAGTCCCGTTTCGACCGAGTCGAACGCAGATCAGCATAATACAGTTCGTCCTACGCGTTTTGCCAAGCTGTGCTAACAACCACGCCCAGAGTGCGCATAACTGGCCAGGTGCGCCCAGCATTTCGCCAATTTTTCTGAGATGCCAGGGCCATTTTTTATATTATTGACTCTCGAAGACTGCAGCGCCGCGACTGGTTTAGAATGGCTCGTCGATTGTTATACGTGCGCCATTGTTCAGGGAGACATGCATGTACCTATCAGCGGATGGCATGCGTCGGCGAATAGAATCCCTTCATTCAGCTCGATGACTACCAGCAGCGACATCTGCCATGCTCGATTCCCCGAAGACTTCTCATTAACGGCGTCATAAAAATGGCAATGATCTTCCGAGTGGGTCAGAGACCCGGAGGATCGGGAAGATCGGGAAGATCGGGAAGATCGGGAAGATCGGGAAGAGACGTGGATCGATAGATGGCGAAAGCGCCGGAGGAAGATTCCTCTGGACCTGAGTAACTTTGGTTTCTCTCACGGACCAGCAAGCTTCATAATTCTTTGATACGTCCTTTCTCGTTTTCTGCCTTTTTATCCGGCACTCGATGGACGGCTAGATATCTGTAATTACAATTTATATCCTTGTGTTTTAATGCGCGCGTCATTTGTCGCGTGGTAATGTGATAGCAGCCAGCGTGCCGGCTTCAGAGATTAGTCGGCAGGTCGTCGGTACGTGTGACTCTGACTCTCCCCGTCTTTGCCTCCTCCTCTTCCGCTTTCTGCTTCTCTTCGTCCTCTTGGGCCCTGCAGGTAGGCGGCCGATTGTGCAACGACGAAGCACGACGCACGTTATGCACGCTTTCCAGAGCGAACCGCAAAAAATCTGTTGCAGTCGTGTCGAGATGCACTGCGAGTCGTATCGGCTTGCCTTAACTCGATAAGATCGATAAGCCTCCTTCCGATAAGCTTCCGTGGGTGCAGCTCCTGCAATTATATTTGACTTCTTAACATCTCTACCTTCTTAGGAGGACACTCTTTCTTTTTATGGCTATCCAACTTTTTACGACTGTGCCGGTCACGCATATTCCGTTTACAATATGGATATTACAATACTTGATCCTCCAGTTGAATTGGTTGGTCGCTCTGCAGTTGGATGGCAACGGACGGACGCTCCTGACTTGACAGAATTAGTTTCCCAACAATGGGACACACTCGCGGGCGCGCTCTTGCGCTTTCAGTGATGTCCAAGGCGACGGGCGCGCTGCATCTTCCGCCGCTTCTCAGCCAATAAAACCTTTTCACACCCAAATTTGTCCAAGGCAGCGTGGAGCAGTTGCAGTTGGTCGTCGCAGTGCGCCTCAGTGTGACGCCAGATATGTACTTATAGTTCTCTTGCTGGCAGGAAAGCAGCAAAACAGAGGAAGGAAAGCGAACGGCGGCTCCACTTGGGCCTTCAGAGTGGAATCGCCCGGGGCCCTAGGAGCTCCCAGGATGGAACCAGGGACGAGGTTTCAGGCTTCAGTCTCATCCAATTTGTTTTTGGCCCGCGGAAGATGAGCCGAACTCATTTACTTGGGCTTGTTTTTCCCTCCGACAACCCCGACAATCTCTTTCGATCTTACTTCTGGATTCTTGGAAAGAGTCAGTGCGCGCATCTATTTAACATAAAAAATACAGCGAGGGGACAAAAAAGCGAGAAGTCAGGACTCTTCGTCGCATCGATTTTTCCCCCCATAACCTCCGTCAGCTAACGATCCCTCGTCCTTCCAAGGATTGATGAAGATTCCCAAACCCAAAGACGATCGGTAAAGATATTGGGAATGAGGTCCCATAGGATATCGGGCAGCGGCTAATTTGTCCGGCATAAGAGGAGCCGCGTTTCCGAGGCTCATTTATATCGACGAGCCGCGACTATACGCGCTTCATCGTAGTGGCCGTAGTAGCGTTCGTCCTAACGAACGGCATAGCGATGCCGAGGATGAGGGCGACGACGACGACTGCTTCGATTTTTATGTCGCCGTCGTCATCGGATGCTTCCTAATTTATTCGCTTTCGAAATATTGGGCTCCCCATTAATTTTAACGCGTGTCCCGATATTTAGTGTTGGTTTAGGAGGTGCGGGGGAGTCCCGGTCTCTAGTAAAACTCGCTTCTTCCTCCAGCTTCCCCCTCAGCGGTCCACAGCGGTCCACAGCGACCCCGTCATTTCTTTATTTCTCTCAACCTTTTCGTCAATTAGTCTCTCAACGAAGCTCAGCCCGTCTCCCACCTTTTATTTCCTCTCAGCCATCGAAAATGTCGAACACAGCATCCACACGGCTCCTGCCGGCATCCGACGCCGAACGACGCGTCCGCGCGTCACACGCCGCGCACGTTTTATTTCGAGCACTTTATTTCTCGGCTCGTGCTACCAACTGCCTACTGACTTTTTTACTTTTTAACCGACACGCGGAAGAGAGCCTTCTCTCTCTTCCCCCCGACATAAGAAGACAGTTGACTGCTCCGGCCCATCTTTCACCTGCCACCAATTCTTTCAATGCTTATTCTGCTGCGCCATACTGCGCCGTTTTTCATTTCTTTTCTCTCGAGAGAATTCTTTCTTAATTCTAGTTCTTTCTCAGCTTGGCACACGTTCCATGCATTGAACAGACTGCACTCGTATGGTAAGCCTGCACTTTGGATTCCTGTTGTGCGCAGCGTTCATCTCGTAAACTGACCTCGTAACCAATCGGTAACGCGCAAAAATTTTTCTCGGCACGTCGGCACGTTCTGGCCATTGTCGTCATTGGTGAATGTTATGGCGATCAGAGAATGTTCCACGTAGCGGCAATAAGTAACCAGGAGGGGAAGAAAGTCCTCCGGAAGGAATAACAGTGTTGGCTGTTCCGGGAGGGTTGACAATTGGAAAACGAAAATGAAAGAATAAGGAGAGAGAGAGAGAGAGAGAGAGAGAGAGAGAGAGGGAGAGAGAGAGAGAGAGAGAGAGAGAGAGAGAAGTGAATTAGAATTCCAAAGTCGCAGGATCCTCCGGCCCTGTAATTAGGGAGATCGGAACTTTCTGTCCGAGTTAGGCTGGGATCGTTAGCCATGGCCGGCGGGTTCTCAGGTTTAACGACGATTTTGATGAATTTAGTCAGATTTAATTAGGAGGGACGTATTTTCGTGACCCGTTACACGTTACACGTTACACGGGCAAACTCACCCCGCGCGCACTTTGAGAATCGAGTTTTGCATGCCTCGGGGACGAAGCCATAAAATAGCAAGCGTAACAGCTTTCAATTACAGGTCCCCAATGTGCAACGTATGAGACATGCGCAAAGGGGGCCTCCAGCGTGAAAAAACAAAAGGGAATTGAGCAAAAATTCTCTCCCCCTTTGGAATATCCACTCATATTCGTATCAACAGAACGCAGACTCGTGCTCTGGTACTGCCGCCAAATTAATTCCTGAAATCGGGCCCGAATACGTCGTAAGCTTTTGACCTGACTGGAATTTTCAGTGGATGCTGCTCATTTAGTAGAGCCTAGTCCCTCCGGCAGCAGTCCTTGGTGCTCGTCGAGTCCTTCGAATCGGCACTCGCCTGATAATTGTCCATCTTCCGTGCTGAACTTTTGGGCCCAAAGGAACGCCTCCGTCTGGTCTGTCGCAAATTTTATAAGCCTAAGGATGTAGCGCTGCTACGGCAACTGTCAGTCAGGATCTTTAGGCGTCGATTTGTGGTCCTGGACTGGAGTGTCCAGTGCATCCGAGACGAGTCGAGCTGTCAGAGCCAGCGCAGTGGGTGGAGAATCTTATCGTCAGCGGGTGGCTAAACGAGTCTCTGGATT